GATTTTCGGTGAATCGAATATCGAGGTTAGTTAAGTTTAGGATTAAGGACTTTTTCCGGTTTGGTAATTCCGGTCAAAAATTACCTGGCGCCCATAAGGTTAAATTTTAGCAGGTTTTTGTTAGGCTCAGGGGAAGTAGGGCGAAGGTAATGGGCATTTCCCATTCACCGGGAAAATGTCACGTTACATATATTATCACCGATAATCGGGGAAGAAGAAGAACGAGTGAAAAGCAGTCATCAGTCGCTATTCAGCTGCCCCTGTGGAGAGATTTTGTTTGCGTGAAAGAGTATTGTTTCGTTGGAGAGTTCTTGTGGAGGAGAGTTTGTTGAGAGAGTTGTGTGGAGGGATTGTGGATCCAGGAATGTGAGTGTGGAAGACGCTAGGACTCTAGAATTTTGTACGTGGAGGTTTTGGTGGCGTGGAGGATTTCGCGTGAAGGATTGCACGTGGAGGATCGCGGAAAGCTGCCATTGGTGTGAGTACTCCCTGGATATTAATCCCCTGCCCCAACGATATTCGCCCTGTCCCCAATCATAACCCCCTCCCCCAACGGTGAGCCTCAACATTATTCATTGTTTATAGTGTATTAGATTTTATTACATACTTCCCCTTTTTGATAAGCGGAATCAGTACCCCCCTAATTTCACCCCTCTCTTCAGCAATGAGCTTCCCCCTGTTCTCTTTCTTTTTATTAGATAAATTTTATCATGTTGCCGCAAGTTGGCTGGCCTTACCCCTTCCCTAGTTTTTCTTTTCTAAAAGGCCCAAACAGTTAATCTTCTTGTTACTTTTGTGATTAAACTGAATTCCGAAATATCATTTAATTAATTAAAGAATTCGCCCCCCAGTGAATCATTTTCCGGATTTATCGTGCCAGGGCTGGGAATTATTTTATAATAATTCGCCGGCCATGGTCATATGAGTCCTTAGGAAGTGTTCTTTAAGTGAACATATGAAATCAGTAATTAAGCGGAGGAACCATCCAATTCGATTTTTTTCGAAATTGATTTTTTGGTGATAATAGACTGTTCAATATGAGTTGGGAAGTAGTAAGTGGGAAAATATTCGATTTATTTTCGATATTTTATATACGCTTCCATTATCTGTAGCAGACCCAATGAAAGGAATGCCAAAAGGTGTAAAACTA